GGGAACGTAGAAAGAAACTGAGTTTGGGTGGGAAAGTTCATTCCACACTGAGCATGTTTTTGGGAGACTTTGGTAGTCTGGTGTACAATTGAACTTTGTTAACTGGTAAAAGTAGAAGTGAAGGCTTCGCTTCTTGGTTATTTTTGTTTTGTTTTGATACAGTTAAGCTCCTCCATGTATGCCTTAGAAATGTGGGCAGAGGAGCATCTACCATTGAGGGAACGCATCAGTGTATAGCTATAATTTAATTTGCGGAGGTGTTAAGAGTTATGTCCCTTTAACATAAAGGCCAAGCTGTTTTTTCAGAGACCAGGAAAGAGGGCTGGCATTGACCTTGGTGATTACAAGAATGATCTGGTCGCTGAGCAAAGCTCTAGAGTAACACAACCACTAAGCCCAAACGGATTTGCCAAAATGGGGAGATGGGGGAACGGCAATAATTTCCAGCAGTTAGAGGGCCTTTCATCTATGAATACATTCACATTTATCATTTAAAACACAGATCAACATGATGATTTTGATGAAGTAGGAACGATCAGCCCTAGTTGTTCATTCTTCAAACAACAGAGGGTCAAGTCAACATTCAATTCAAAAAGTAATGCAACAAAGCTGAAGTTTCCAGACTCTTCCTTAGAACTAACTGGGTCCAAGGAACACGTGATTTTTAAAAAGCCATTGGCCCCAAATCAGTTTTGGAAATGCTGACTCAAAGTTAAAAGTGACTCCTCCTTGTGTGTAGGACATTTCGGAAGTTGCAATAAACTACTGTGGATTATTGGTCTCTAGGACAGGTGGGTAATGGTGTAGTTCCCAAATGTCTTGGACCACAAAGCCCTGCTGATCACAAGAATCTCAAGTACACATTTTTGGAAACATCACAGGTGAGCACTTGTTGGAATTGTCCTTCTGGTCCAATGTGAATGGACAGTTCAGGTGAAACAGTGTGTGAATATGAGGATGTACCACGGAGGTCACCTGTAAACACAAACAAGCAACTTGACAGAAACACCACAGCAAAGCCATCCTTGGAGCTCACCTTCCCAAGTCTCCATCTGCATACTTCTCACCGCTCCATACTCCTTGGTCTAAAAGCAGGAGGTGCTCCTCCTTTCGCCTGGACTTTGTCCCAACTGTTACTCATCCCCAAGAGGTAAAATTATACAAGGAAAGCCTCAGCCTCTCTAGTGAGGATAACGACTTTATTCCCTGAATGAAAACAGGGATTTTGCATTTACAAGAAGGTTGGGAGTCACTGGAGTCCTAATATGGTTGCAATTACAGTTCATCAAATTCCCAGGCATCTCTGACAGCTCAGGGCGCCGGAAGGGCACTTCATGAGGAGATAAAGAAATGAAAAATGAAGTGTTCTCCATGTGCATTATTCACATATTTATTTTCCGAATTTTGCATGAGTGTCCCTTTGGCTACATTTTCAGGGAGGAATGAACCAAACGTTTGAATTCTATAATCACTTGTGTGAAAATTTCTTAGAATATTCAGATATTCAAACCTGGCGTTTTTAAAAATCACATCTTGAACAATAAAATGTGCACTCACAAGTATGAGGATTTCCTTCAGGAGAGGTGTGTCCACGTGGGTCAGGTCAACTCTGTCCTGATCAAGTTGCATAAGATACATTTCTTCATTTCTTTTGGGAATGGCTTTATGTATGTTAGAACGGGCTCTGAAATCTGGTCCAGTGTGCTACTTACAGCCTCAATATTTTATCATCAAGATTCATAAATTACATAGCATTTAGATAAAAAATGCATATCTCAGAATTACTCCAGCTTTTTATATGCCCTCAAGAGATTAATACTAAATGCATCAGATCTAAGAGTAAAGGGGATGAATCGGCTGCAGTAACTCATCAAGGGCTGGGAGGCTTACTGTAGATAATTCCTCCATTCTAGCACTTTGAACTTTTGTTAATGGTTATTATAGATGAAAGAGAATATGGCCTGCCACATTCCCCAAAGATTTGCATATTAAATTGCAAAGCCAGCAGGTAGAAATCGGAAATAGGGCAAATGAGTTTGTCCTCAGCCTCCTCTCACTTTCAAAGGAGAACTGTTCAGTCCATTTTGGTTTTGCATTTGAATCTGTCCTCCTAAAACTTCCCAATCCTGGGTAGTTCTGTTCCCATCACTACCCACCCCATTTCCTCCAAAGTGAAACTCCTTTTCTTGACTTCAGCTGCTTTAAGTAGAGATTTTTTATGGTAAACGAAATAAAAATATGTCACACTAACATCTATATGTGTTCCATTTCCTCTGTTGTAATACTGTTTTCTTAGCCAGACTAAAACGTGTCTACTAAGTGTGAGGTACTAGTGATTAACAGTGATGGCGGGGAGCAAGGTCTTATTTTAGGCTGGGGGTAGGAAGAGAATAGGAAACAGCCAGGAAGTCCATCTATAGCAGTAAGTGCTGAGGAAAACAACAAGAAAGAAAGCCTACAAGGGAGTGTGTAGGTGGGTTCCACTTTAAGTCAGTGGGTCAAGGAATGACCTCACTTAGAGAAGAATTTGAACAATGTTAAAGGAGGGACCTGTGGGCATGGGGAATGGCAGAACTCCAGAGGGGAAAAAGCAACTGGAAAAGGTATAAGGGTCTGAAGAAATCAAAGATCCCAAGGTATGCGGAACAGAGAAAATAGGGATGAAGAAATTGGGAGATGCAGTTCAACAGGCAACAGGAAGTCAAGTCCTGTGCTCCTCTGGCCACGGCAAGAACTCAACTGGAGGGTCTGAGATGAAAAAGTATCTTGATGTGGTACAGATTGCAGAGCACCATGAATGAACAGGCCAGTGGCTTGGTACCAGTGGGGCAGCAAAGGTTGTAGGAAGTGTTCAGTTGGGACACGTCTGGAGCATAGAGCCAGCACCACGTGCCAGTGCACTAAACTTGGAGAGTTGCTACAGCCCTCTCTTCCCTTTGTTCTCATACATATGCATTGATCTACTAGTAAAGCATGGCCTGTTCCTTTGTTTTTCTACCTTCTGAAAGGTAAGCATAGAGAACTGTATAGACCAAGATATTTCTGTGTATATTTGGAGCTCTACCCAAACATGAAGCACTCAAGGGCATTGGTGGCAACAAACAGTGACCAAATAGCACAAGGGTCTGCAGTGCATTTTAAAGTGACAGAGACTAGCTGAAGCATAACTGCAATTTCTGGCTACCTAAGCTCTGTGTTTGTCCAATAGATGAGGCAAAAACTCCCCTTGGGCATTTGGAATTGCTTTGAAGGTTAGACCTCTCAAGCAAAAATAAAGCCAGTCATTCCTATAGCACTGTTTGCTATCTTGTTATTAGGTAAGGCTGGCTACACATGGGATCACTGGCACATAACACATCTGGCCTCAAATAATTGGACACCAGTAGTCTAGCGCATGACAGAAATGGAGAGTATGGCTCACAACTGTCTGCAACAGTTCACTGCCTTCATGGATCATTGCTCCTAAGTAAGAGATTTGCAATTCAACAACTCTTTCCTGAGCACAGAAAGAAAAAAATTATTTGAACCGTGGAAATATCTGGCATATGGAAGATAAATGGTACAGAAAATACAGACTCATCAAGAAGTCTAACTGGGTATTCCAACAAGGAGAAGGAAGGCTGGAATGAGCTTGGAAGGATCTCCTTTGGGGGCTGCAGGGAGGCGAAACACATGGAAGATGCTGTGCTTGATTCCCTTCTCCCACTGTCTCAAAGCCTTTCTTTGTATTCTGCGTTCCCTTTTGCATGCACAGATGGGCCAATAATGCACATCATACTCACTGTTTCTTCAATTTGAGAAGTACACTAATTTCTCTACTTTTTTTTTCTTGTAGAAACAAAGCTGTCAAATAGGCCCTTTATAAGTGTTGTAAAGTCCCTACTTCTAGAAAATTTGAGGGAAAGAAAAGCCTGTTCACTCCCCCCATCTGGCCCAATTTCTGTGCTAACAGATTACTGGCTTCACAAAAAATCTGAAATGGCAGAGAGGCCCAGCTCCTTTGAATTCTCACCCAATGAGAATTAAGAGATCTTTACAGAAAAGACCAAAATTTAAAATGTTCTATCATAAAAATAAGCATAGGTCCTCCAAAAACAATAGAGGAGAATTTGGAAATTAATGAGGGTGTTGGGAAGCGATAACAATGTACTTTTACACACCTTCATGAAAAGAGAAAATACACAGATGAGGCATTAACAAGGCTCATGAAAAACACTGCCATGCAGAATGAAGGATTTACCTAGTCTGTGAATGCAATCAACAAGTAAATCCTATATTTACTTGAATGTTGTCCTCCTCAATGATATATTTTAACCAGTAATTATTACCATGGTGACAAAGTCTCACTACTACTAAAAGAAATTTCAAGTTTCAATTAAATTCACTCATCAAATTTAGAGAAATTAACTAAAGAGTGGAACTTTCTCCTCTTCCACCAATCATGGTCTTCTGTCCCTTCCCCTGGCTTCCTTCTGTACATTTCCCAAGCCTTGAATGAGTGTCTATTCTCCATCAGGCAGTGTGTTAGATACAATAAGACCTAGTTCTGACCTCCAAGGAACTTCACTGCTGACAGAATAGTCTCCTATTCAGGTAGAAAATTTACATCACAACCTATAACAGTATTTATTTTTATTTTTTGCAGCTCTAGGAATGGCAGCACCCAGAGCCTCCCATATGCTAGGCAAATGCTCCACCTCTGACCTACATAGCCAATCTTTTTTTAAATTTTATTTCAAGGCAGTCTTGTTAAGTTGCCAACCTGGGCTCTAATTTGTGATCCTCCTGCCTCAGCGTAACAGCTGAAAAACAACAACAAAGAATAGAAAGCCACAAGAGTAGTTATTCATCTGTCAGTTACTCTAAGCCATTAGCCAGTAGGTGTTATTTTGCTTTGTCCACAGAAAAGGCATTATCATGATCTTTGTTAAATAATTTAGACAATGAATTCCACTTACTGCTTCGCAGATTGCTCCAAAGCTACAGCAGTGCATACTTACCTTATGATAACACCTAAAATATGCAGCACGTTCATCAGAAAATTTCTCCAATCTTTTTGGACCCTTGCTTGAAGCTTTCTTGAATACCAACCAGCATCGTTGATAAATCTGGAAAGAAATATAAAGACTAAGCTGAGCATCTTCACTGACCGAGGTGCTCCTAACATTTGCATTTAAATGCTTTTTAAAAAGTCTTCACCTGTAAAATATTCACAAGCCAGAAATCTGATGTTGCTTTGGGAAAATAAATTTTTTTAAAAAACAAATTGTTTCCACAGCGGGCGGAGTATACAATGCAGACAATTACTGGAATCAAAGGAAAATAAGGATATGTAGGCAGATTTTTTTCATATTTTAATAACAACTATCACTAAGCACATTTGAGAAAAAGCACAAGAGATTTTTTTTTTAAATCCTAAATCAGTACAGATAATGTAGGCATTCATGACATATGATCTGGTTTCAAATGCAGTCAAATCTGAAAATCATGGAGTTGATAATATGCTAAAGAGCACACCACCACACTACAGAGCACTTGTCTTAGAATGAGACACCCCATGAGGCATTCCTCAAAACTGACAGTAAAGAGATGGGTCAAACACTAGATCAGGAAATAATTCTTGATCAACACCAACTGGATTCTTGCTTAGAAATTCAAACCAGAGACTCAGCTTATTTCTTGAAAAGAGGTCAGTGCTGGTGGTTATACATGGTAACTGGTGGCCATGTTGACTTACTTGCATGACAGGCAAATAGTAGGAACTGCAGTAAAGACTTAGGTCATCTCTACTCTAAGTAGAAGAGCTATTTTATTCCTTGTAATATTTCAGCTCGGATATTTGAGATCCAGCCCTTTTTTCTAAGTTTCTTGAAAATCATCCATATCCCCAGGAACCTTCTATTACCAGTATCACTACAACTTTTAACTGAGCTTGAAATGGGGTCTGAGGATAGCAGCCAAAACCACCCTATGGGACTAGTCAATGAAAACTAAATTAGTCTATTAAAATAGTAATAGCACCAAAGACAGAAATTGTAAAGATCCAATGATCATGAGAAAACTGAAGTTCTCCAAAAACCAAATAAAGTCAGATTTAAGTCTAAAAATTAACAAGATATTAAATTACTGATAACATTCACTTATGATAAAGTGCCAAGTGGCATTATTACCCCACTGGTGATCTTTAGAGGCCATTTGACACAGCTAACCTTAAAAGAATGGCAATTTTTCCTAAAGCAAAAGTTCAAAATATAGTTAACAAACAAGAAACTCTGTATTAAAGATAGATAGGTGAGCAGTGCTCTTTGATTCTTAAATCATCTTCAAATTACACCTATAAGTGATTCTATATAGTCAATCCATAGATACACTTTATGTATTCTAAAGTTTAAGGTTCTCTAAGAAGAAACAAAGGAAAACCTACATGAAGCATTTGGTCATTCAAACTGTAGTTGATTTAAAATACATCTTGCAGTTCTATTAATACCTGGCAGATGGGTAAGGAATTCAGGTTTGCTACTACTCATTTACAGTGTTTGATATATTCCACTCTACTGTTCTAGTCAATTATCAGTTGTCTTGTTAGAGTGGTCAAAGGAACATAAATTTATTCTTGCTGTGTACTTCTCAATAAAGAGGGTTAGATATGTGTCAGACCCCAATGAATGTATACTGAAATGTTGGCAGTATTATTTATAGTAATAAAAATTAGAAACTACTCAATCTTAGTTTCATTGGGTTAAGAAAGGCCCCCAGTAGATTAATGAAGCAAGATCCTGGATATGTCTGTGTAAGTCATGAAGGCACAACCTTAGCTAGGTTAGTAAAGCAATCTCCTGGGTATCCCGGTAAATCACAAAAGTGTGACCTTAGCCACTACATATGGTCCCTAGCCCAATCTTCTCCAGCACTGCTCCCTTAGTCTGCTTCCTGGGCACCATGAAAGAAGTAGTTTCGCTCTTCCATGCATACCCTTCCACTTTTATGTTTTTGCCTCAGTCTGCCAAATCTCTCAAAACCATGAGCTAAATTAAACCTTTCCTCCTTTAAGTTCTGGGTGTAAGGTACTGTGTCTTAGCAACAGGACAGCTGACTAATACAGAATGACAAAGGAAATTATAACACTTCCATAATATATAATTAATATAAGTTATCCATCTATAGAATAACATTGGTAGTTATATAGAAAAAAGGTGGTGTACACAAATATAAAAATATATATTGTACATCAATAGAATAGTAGCCATTATAGTAAAACTATAGTAACATCAATACTACATGTAATGTTAATGTAGCAAATCACGGTATATTATCTAGCAACAGGATAACATAAGTAGCTCATGTGAAATAAGTTTCAGACGGAATTTCTAATGGCATGGGAAAGTGTTCATCATATGCTATGGAGGAAAATAACATAAAACTTTATTTACATTGTGGTTACCATTATATAGAATGCATGAAAAAAAAGATAAAGAAAATATACCAAACTGTTAAATGTTTTCCCTGTTATGAGAATAGATTTGGGGGTTTCCTTGCTAGTTTTCGTTCTGCTTACCGAAAGTTAATACTGTAATTAAATCAAAGAGAACTGGTATTTCTTAAATACCCAAAGGTATTGGTATAATTAAAGTCAATCACACAGGTTTTTATCTTTCTTAATTATTAAATCCATCAAGGGACATAAAACATGGAAACGAAGGGGAGGAAGCAACCCAGTGGAGGAAAACCTATCTCTTCAACAAATGGCTCCACATCAATTGGACGTCCATGGGCAAAAAAAGAAAAGAAAAATAACCCACTTTTTGAAAAGGCCCATGTTATACAAAAATTAAAATTGCCTTGAATATAAAACAGAACTATAATACTTCTGTAAAAAAATTTTTAGGATTATGGCCTGAGTACTGAGTACTGAGTACTCAGACTTAATATCAAAAGCAAACACCATAAAAGGAAGATGACAAACTGGACCTTCACAGAACTAAACATTTTTGCTATATGAAGACTTTGCTAAGAGGATGAAAAGGTAAACAGAGACCGGGAGAAAATATTTGCAAACCCCATATCTGAGCAAGGTCTAACATACAACATACATGACTCTCAAATATCAAGTTAAAAAAAATCCAATTTATAAAAGGGCAAAATCCAAATGAACAAAAGATATCTCACCAAAGAGGTTATCAGATAGTCACAAATCACATGAAAAGGGCTTCAACATGATCACTGAAAAGGAAGTGTAAATTAAAACTACAGTGAGATATCACTACACACCAATCTGATTGGCTGAAATAATAAATATAACAATAAATGAAACCACCACCAAATGCAAGCATGGTTGTGGAAAAACTGAATCACTCATTCACTGCTGGTGAGAATGTAAAACTGTTACAACCACTTTGAAAGATAAGTGGTAGTTTCTTAAAAATAAACTGTGCAACCAGGATACGACCAGCAGTTGTACATTAAGAAATTTATCACAGGGAAATGCAAACTTATACACACACACACACACACACACACACACACACACACACACATACCTGCATATGAATGATCATAAGGGCTTTATTCAGAACAGCCAAAACCTAGAAACTATGCATAGGACCTTCAGGAAGTGAATGGTTAGGTAAACTGTATTACACCCTATCATGGAACACTACTTAGCAATAAAAATAACGAACTATTAATGTGTGCAGTAATTTTCACAAATCTCTAGAGAATTATGCTGTGTGAGAAGAAATGTCAAACCCAACAGGTTTTATGGTAACATTATTCTCCAGTCTCTGTCTGCCTGCCCTCCCCCACTGAAGATCACACTCTAACCACAAGGCTCAGCTACGTTAAGAAGCGAAGTTCCAAAAGTCACCCGTAGGAGTTCGAGCACAGAACCCTCCGCACGGTGGAGATCTAGCATCCTCCAGGCTGTCGTTGGCAGGGATGCTGACCACATCCCACTTATGTCTGAGGAACACAGAGAGGACAATAGGTCCCCGACCATTGTGCCACCACCCCAGGACTGTAATTACAGCGGGGGTAACTGTCACTCCACTTGTTCAAATAAAAGGTGCACGAAATAGGCTTCCTGACTCTCATTCTACGATTGTAACTTCTTGCTTTTATGTATGCTCCTGAGAAAGTGCTCAGAAACGGAACATTCTAAAGGCAGGCAAAAAATATGCACATTCCAAAAAAGATACTTTCACTAGAAAGATATTTTAACTTTCCCAAATTCTGCCTCACTTTTCAGATCCAATTTTTAACGAGTGCATTTCTAACTTTTTCAAAAATGTGTTCATTCTCTTCTTGGCTGAGCCAGGATTTGTCTGGCTTCTTTCCAAATCTGTTCAACGCAAGCTCCAGATTCCTCAGTTTCAGCACGTCTAATGATTTCCATCTCTGACCCCTTTGGATTAAGGCTAGGAAGCTTGTGTTTCTCCCTTTTTGGTTTTCTTTTGCTTTAGTAAGCAGTATGGATAAAAACGTAATGCTAGAGGAAAATAACAGCAACGTATTATAAATTCACATGCAGCCTTGCTGGAGAGTCATTATGGGATAAATTCAAAAAGGATGGTTTCATGAAGAGATAAGGACTCAAGCTTGATTTATGAAAAGGCAGTTTAGGAAGTCAGGTTGAGACACACACACACGGTATGGGCGCAGGCGGCCAGAAGTTGAATGTGGTCTGCCCAATCAAGATCTTTCCTTTATTCTGTCATCCCTCTGACATCAGCGACTCACACGTGGTCCAGGGTCACTCCAGATAATTGCTAGCTATGCAGATTCCTGGAGATTAGCCCGGGTCTGTTGAATCAGAACCCTGTGGGATAAAGTGAGGCAAATATTCCCCTGAACACATCCCCCAGGTATTTATTTTTAATTGGCAAGCCCATGCCATAAATATTCATAAAGTACTTTCACGCAGTACTGCCCCTCCCACCCGGGGTGGATGACAACGAATTCTGTGTCAAGTGCTTGGCAATGAGGCCTGCCGAAATGGGGGTTCTCCAACGAGGGGCACACAGCCACATGAGAAGTAGGGCAGTGTGACAGGCCACCTTGTGATTGAGGGACACACACTGTGATCTGTTGAGGTGGAATAAACTCAGACTTC